TCTCTCTCTCTCTCTCTCTCTCTCTCTCTCTCTCTCTTACATACACACACACAAATACATACCGATCGGTACCTCGAGTATAATTTGCCCATTTAATATAAACGCACTTTACTTAATCGTTACATATAATGAGGTTTACTTGTACCTCATGTATTTTGCATTTGTACATCAAAACAATAGACCGGATATAAATAAAAACAAAACTTTATATCTATGTCTATGAGTTATGTGTGTATATATTAGTCATTACTCATTCAATTATTGCATTTCAATACAAACATTCAAAACTACACGTACTGTGGTTTTGGTAGTGTATAGTGTGAGGAGAGGGAGAGAGAGAGATAGAGAGAGGTTATGAGAGAGAGTCAAAGCGAGAGAGTGAGAGTCAATGCAGAGCCAAAGCTGTGATAGTTGGCACTACACCTACAGTGAGAATGGGTGTTCAAATGTAAAATATAGAAAGATATAAACGATATAAACACATCAACACAAACACTAAACATTTATATAATATAAAATATTATAGGAATTATTAATTTAATATTTTAATAATGTTTGTTAAATATTATATTAACATTGTTTTATTGGCCACTAGTTTATGCCTAACTTATAATAATTGTATTGATGTGAAGACAACATCGGGTGTAGTGAGGGGTCAGACGATAGATGTGTTGAACGTAAGTATTGACCAGTTTTTGGGTATACCTTATGCCGAACCACCCGTCGGGAGACTCCGGTTCATGATGATTATTTTCACTGTTTTTGGCCTAAATGTCAATACAAGACAACAATTAAAAATGTATTAATTACACATCAATTAATTCATTCATCAATAAAACAATTTAAATGTGATTTTAATAATTGTAATAAAGAGTTCACACAAAATGAAGGTTTAATTGCACACAAAAATGCTGTTCATTTAAAAGTGAGATTTATTTGTGATTTCAATGAATGCCACAAAAGTTATAAATCAAAGTCACATTTATTTCGACACAAAAGTTGTGTTCATTTAAATGAAAAAAATTTCAAATGTAATGAAGAAAATTGTGGCAAAAAATTTTCATTTAATGTCGATCTAATTCGTCACAAACGCCTCCATTCGGGAGAAAAACCATTTGTTTGTCATTTTAATGATTGTAGTAAAAGTTTTGCACAAAAATCTAATCTGAAATCTCACATGAAAACACATTTGAATATAATAAATTATTAAATGACCGTTTTTATTCCCAAATTAGACTGTTTTATGCTCCCGATTCCCGCATAATTACCAAAAAATTGAGGCTTTAGTCATTAATAAAGTCTCTATTTTTCGGGAACAAAATTGCCCAAAGTTGGGGAGGAATTAAAATTTATGTTATTTTAATATTGCGTTTAAATATGATATTTTTAATTAACTTTAATATTTTTAACACAATTTACACAAAAACATATTCATTTTTGACTTTAAAATCCTTAAAAACCTTAAAATGAAAATAAATCAGGATCTAATAATTACGTGAATTACATGGAGAACTATAATCTACATGTAGTTTATTGTAATAAATTTTGTTTATTATATTTATTTCATTAATAAAATTATTATATTTATAAAATAAATATACAGTATACATTTATATAATGTTTATACCAATTTTATCTTATGATTTATCTAATAATTTAAGTTAAACTTGTCAAGCTTAATTATGATTAATTAAAAATAATAACCATGCCAAAATCCATCACAATTTTTAGCATAAGGATTATCCAACAGACGGCCCAATGTTTTGGGATTTAATTCAAATATATTCACGCGATTATTATCAAGAAATTGAGGCCATTTATCATCAGGGGTTCTAATTAATTGAAATAATAATAAGCATAATCTATTAATTCTTAAACAAGTAATTAAATAAAGTCATATGGTTATAAATACCCATATTTTGCAAACCGAGTCCACATTGTCATAACCGCACGACTGAGCGCCTGATCTTCGGGTGTAAATCCCGGTGTAGTCAACGGTAAACCAAACACATATGGTATATCCATACCGTGACAAATGCCCATGGTCTCTGGATCGCACTTCATTAGTTTAGCTACTATAGGATTTTCATATGTTAACTCATAAAAATAGACATTATGAGATCGATCCCGGTTTAAATAAAATTGTTTAGCAAACAAATAAGTCGGACACTTGTTTGTGATGTCGCCTAAAAAGTCATAGAAAGCCCAGCGGAGGGCCCGGGGGTCCGATTGGTTCACATTTTGCAGGTAATAGTCTGTCCATCGCTGGACATCCAGACCCCGGTATATAGCGTTGGTTTTATTAATGTATTGTCTAAATGACTCGACGGTCAGGGGGTTAGGCAAAGGTCCGACCATAGGCTCTGCCAGACTTGAGCCCTCATCCCTCACTAGGCCTGACAATAGGTCGATATCTTGTGGGAAAATTGAATAATGTAAATTATGTTTAATTTTTATTGTTTATGTTTGAAACAATTTGCTAAAAATTTTATATAAACATAGATTTAAAATTGTTAATTGACTATAAAATAAAATTCTTACAATACCTGTCCTAAAAGTCTTCTCCCGAAAAGCTTCTTGGGCAGAAATGGGCAAATATTGGGTCCCTAAGACCGGGAAAGTAGGGAAGATTGTAACCGTCTGTAGCCTATCGGCCGGTATTTCTCTCAAACACTGTAACCACTCCTCAGATTCACTGCAATTAAAACGTTTTGCTATATTTTTGGCCGACTGTAGGGCTTCACCGGTGCTGATCGGGTCCCGGCTTTTGCTGTACAGAATGGCCCCGCTTTCCATAATAGCCCTCTTGAATAAGCCCTTTGTTAACGGACTGAATATCTGTGTCGATACGGACCAACTGCCGGCGCTTTGTCCAAAAATAGTGATCTCATCCCTATCTCCGCCAAATTGTTCAGCATTTTCTCTAACCTATTATTATATCATTAATTTATACATTACTTCATCACTCAATAGAAATTATGGTTAAAACAAGCGATCAATTGATACCCATTTGAGAGCCAATAACTGGTCAAAGAGTCCGACATTTCCGGGCGCGTCCTCCCGATCCCCGTATAGGAAACCAAACGGTCCTAACCTATAGTTTGTTGAGACAATCATCACATCATTTGTGGCCAAAACTTTGCCGTTAAAATAGTCCACAAATATAGAGCCGCTCGTTAAGCCCCCGCCGTGTATGAAAAACATAATGGGTTTGAGCTGTGATTTGTTTGTGTTATTATTGCCCACATTTGGTGTCCATATGTTTAATACCAAACAGTCTTCACTAAACGTTAGATTTGGGACAAGTAATGACACGTTTTGAATGCACGAGTTTTTAGGTTTTGTCGCATCGATTATATCCTAAAATTAATTAATGTTAAAGAAATAAAGTTATTTTGTAATTTACCTTTTTAAATAAATCTAATGTTTACCGGTTTGGGTGTTTTGATGGGTTCAGGTTTGGCGAACCGGAGTCTCCCGACGGGTGGTTCGGCATAAGGTATACCCAAAAATTGGTCAATACTTACGTTCAACACATCTATCGTCTGACCCCTCACTACACCCGATGTTGTCTTCACATCAATACAATTACTGTAAGTTAGGCATAAACTAATTGTCATTAAAACAGTGTTAATATAATATTTAACAAACATTATGAAAATATTCAAATGAATATATTTTATTGTTATGTATTATAATTTATAAATGTTTATGATCTCTTTTTATGTCGTTTATATATCGTTGTAAAGTAACCCTGAAGTAGCTTAAGCACTTTGGGTACTTTTAAGTACTAATACCAAAATAATAATTAAATAGCATTGATAGATCGATTAAGGTAATCACCAGAGATATTATTTTGTGTTAACCTTTAATTCCCTATATTGTAGGTATTTCCAATTCACTTTAACTTAATCATAATCTATTTTTCTGATAGAAAATTTTGCACTAGAATTGTATGGATATAAATATTAATATAAAAATAGAATTTGAAAATTATTTTTGTTTCCTATTGAAAAGCATTGTCAAAAGCGGTTTCGAGTAAATAAATGCTACCATTTTGTAGAGTAATAAAAAATAATGTCAAATGTATATTTTAATTTATACAATTTTATATTCATATGTATTTGTTTTTACAATCATATAATTCTAGTGCAAAATCTATTACCCTGTTAGAATAATTACTAACAAGTGTTATTTGTGCAATAATGTTGAAGTAGTTTATTATAGCATATCTAATTTGTACTAAATATTTTATTTGTTTGCTCACATTTGATTTATTATTTCATCAATCGTAAGTTGACAATTAAATATCAATATGTTTTTAAAATGAAAATTATTTATAATTAAAATAATGATTAAATATTTATCTTTCAAATTGTTATTTTTATTTAAATATAAAATTTAAATAAAAAATTTATATAATTAATATTTTAAAAGATTTATAAGTTAGTTACTTATTGATCATAAACTTGATAAGCTCAATTCAAATTAATTAAAAATAATAATCATGATATAATCCATCACAATTTTTAGCATAAGGATTATCCAACAGACGGCCCAATGTTTTGGGATTTAATTCAAATATATTCACGCGATTATTGTCAACAAATTGAGGCCATTTATATCAGGGGTTCTGTTTTATTGTAATAATAATAATCATTAACTATTAAATATTAATTAACTTTTAATTAAATATAACAATTAAACTATAAATACCCGTATTTTGCAAACCGTGTCCACATTTTCATAACCGCACGACTGAGCGCCTGATCTTCGGGTGTAAATCCCGGTGTAGTCAACGGTAAACCAAACACATATGGTATATCCATACCGTGACAAATGCCCATGGTCTCTGGATCGCACTTCATAAGTTTAGCGATTAAAGCATTTAAGTTTAGCGATTAAAGCATTTAAGTTTAGCGATTAAAGCATAAGTTAACTCATAAAAATAGACTTTATGGGACTTATCCCGGTTTAAGTAAAATTGTTTGGCAAACAAATATGTCGGACATTTGTTTGAGACGTCACCGAAAAAGTCATAGAAAGCCCAGCGGAGGGCCCGGGGGTCCGATTGGTTCACATTTTGCAGGTAATAGTCTGTCCATCGCTGGACATCGAGACCCCGGTATATAGCGTTGGTTTTATTAATGTATTGTTTGAATGATTGGACTGTCAGGGGGTTAGCGAGGGGTCCGACCATAAGCTCGGCGAGGATTGAACCCTCGTCCCTCACTAGCCCTGTCAGTAGATCGATATCTTGTGGGTAGATATAAATTGATAATGTAAATTAGATTTGTAATTGGCTAAATATAGTAAAATATTTACAACATTTTTAATAAAATTTTAATTAATTTCATATGAAATACAATTTATACAATACCTGTCCGAAAGTTTTTCTCTGTAAACGCTTTTTGGGCAGAAATTGGCAAATATTCAGTCCCTAAGACCGGGAATGTCGGAAAGATTGTGACGGTCCGTAGCTTATCGGCCGGCAATCCTCGTAAACACTGTAACCACTCTTCAGATTCACTACAATTGAAATGCTTCGCCATATTTTTGGCCGCCTGTAGAGCCTCACCGGTGCTGATGGGGTCCTGGCTTTTGCTGAACATTAAGGCCCCGCTTTCCATAATAGCCCTCTTGAATAAGCCTTTTGTTAACGGACTGAATATCTGTGTCGATACGGACCAACTGCCGGCGCTCTCACCAAATATAGTGATCTGATCCCTATCTCCGCCAAATTGTTCAGCATTTTCTCTAACCTATTTATTATATTTGTAATTCATAAATTATTTAAATAATTAATAGTAAATATGATTAAAATAAGTGATCAATTAATACCCATTTGAGAGCCAATAACTGGTCATAAAAGCCGACATTTCCGGGCGCGTCCTCCCGATCCCCGTATAGGAACCCAAACGGTCCTAACCTATAGTTTGTTGAGACAATCATCACATCATTTGTGGCCAAAACTTTGCCGTTAAAATAGTCCACAAATATAGAGCCGCTCGATAAGCCCCCGCCATATATCCAAAACATAACGGGTTTGAGCTGTGATTTGTTTGTGTTATTATTGCCCGCATTTGGTGTCCATATGTTTAATACCAAACAGTCTTCACTTATAGCCGCTTCCGGTGGTAAAGCGCTCTTGTCTTGAGTGCAAGAGTTTTTGGGTTTTGTCGCATCGATTATATCCTAACATTGAATCAATATTAATTAATTTTTAAAATTTACATTTTATAAATAAGTGTATTTTTACCGGTTTTTGTGTTTTGATGGGTTCAGGTTTGGCGAACCGGAGTCTCCCGACGGGTGGTTCGGCATAAGG